TATGATTCAATCTATTCATACGTAAGAAGTATGCCTAGTAGCTCTTAATGTTCTGATATGGACTGATCTCCAAAATCTATCAGGTAAAAAATAAAAGTGCAGGTAGTTTGCTAGCATATATGTAAAGAAGAGGGGAACATGTATACTTGTACTTGGTGATAAATACATATAAAACATAAAAATTTCTTCGAGGATACACAAGAACAAACAAAAGAAACATACCCTAGTAACAGCCACAAAAATGATGTTCAAAATCCAAATTTAAATTGTTAATGAAATCACTACACACACACACACACACACATGCATAATGGAATAGTGAATTTTGTGCTACATTAGACTACCGTATGCTTTCATATCATATTGATTGTTTTTCTTGTGTAATTTAAAAACCCAAACCAACTCTGCTAATTAAGCTCTCCCTCGCCAGGAGCTGACTTGGATCTCTGACAGTCCCGAGTTAAAACCTAGTTTGTGGTTTTTGACGGCAAACCAAGACCCTTTTGTTTGCTTCACGAAAACTGGCTGGTTTTAGTCCCTGGCATTATTCTGGGGGAACCCCCATCCCAACAAGTCACCAGTTGTCTTGACCATGACTTACAGTTGTGCCAGTTTTTCTTGGTCACTTTTTGTTTGAGATAGGTAGCAGTAGCAATGATGAAATTATTGTTTGTTTGGTTTTCACTTATGATGAACTACCTTGGAAATGGAAATAGGTAGTATGTTGCGATGGCTATGTAAGGGCAAAAGCAAGTAAATGAAATTATTTGAACTAATATATGTGTTTTTGCCGTATCTTTTTATTCTTTCATTTATTGCTTCTTAATTAGTCCAGAACTCAGAAGATAAAAACACCATCGACAAATGAAACTTTATTAAATGTTTAAAAATGTACTTCTTCTGATAATAGAACTTGATATATGAATCGTATTTAGTAAGTGTCTACAATTTTACTTATTTTTGTTGACATGTTTGGGAATAAGAGGCTGAGTCAGAGAGCTTCAGTAGTTTTATTATTAAATCCACCTTGTCTCCCTTTTCGTAACTCCTTATCAGAAAAGAAAGGGTGTTAAGAAGTTCCACCTGCTTGGTATGACATTAGTAAGAAATCTTAGAGTATTTTGGTGTCACAAATATTACTCAAAGTAACTAGTTTTTATAATCCTTGCCCCCTGAAGAAGCCCCAAACCAACCCTGAAAGGAAATCACAAAGCCTGCAAACAACAAACAAAAAAACCCTTGATATTTAGAAATATTCCTTCCTTCCCCTGTATGTTTTATTGGTATAACAAGGAAAACGCCTCAGTCTGTGACCTTGAGAAAACTAGAGGTTAAATAGGACAAGTAGAGTATTGAAGGTCATCCCCTCCATCACTACCTAAAACGGGGAGCAAGCATTCATCACAACAGGTAAGTGTTTTTAGAATTATGGCAGATGGTGATTGAAGAAGCATAGGCAATTGGGGAGGGGGGAGGACACGTGAAAGCAATAATTTTGAATGTTTGACATTTGTTTTGAAACTACCTTACTACCCTATACCCTTTACCATCTGTCTGTTATCCCTCCCAACACCCACCTCTGTCTTCCCACAGGGCTCCATTGTCTGCAGTTCCTGTTTCTCAGGGGCGGAGCTGTGGGAGGCAGCCATGGGTGCCATAATAGGCACCTGCGGCCAGCACAATGGGCTGTGGGTGCTTGTGGGAGAGACAGATTGATGTATTGTGCATGGGGGAGGAGGGCTGTCACTTGAATCCATGTGAACCCAGGCTTTAGGGGCAAGAGAGATTGACAGCTTTTGTAGGTTGCATTTCTTTTTCAAAGCTTGGCTTTAATAGACAGTAAGTTTGGGGCCCCAGGCTTTCACTCCCATAATTCTAACAGGGCAATCACCAGCATTCAGCATTTCTTTTTCCCCCCTTGTTACGCATTAAATGATTTCAGTAAAGGAATGTGCAGCATTAATTAGAATTTGTTAGCAGATACCAAGGGGAAAAGTTTCTTCACAACAACTATAGGAGGTGTCATTTGTACAAAGACTTTTTTGTTTTCTTTCCCCATTACATTATCACTGCAATATGTAAGGTAGTGATTCTTTTCATTTAAATTAAGTGGAAAGCTACTAAATCTTGTTTTATTCTCAAAAAAGAATAAGGTCCTTAACACTTATCTTTTAACTTCTTTCATTTCCTAAGGTTGGTGTTTACTTTTGCTTTCAGTCCGACCCATTTACTGGTCTGTGTGGTTGTGTATCCAGTTTTGTGTACCATTTAGCTCTTACAATTACAGGCAATCCACTACTGATATATAAGGATTGTTTCCAGGTGAAAATTGCTGCCAATAGTATTGGAAATCAGTGACACACCAGGGCCTTTTTCCTAAATGGTACGTTGAAAAATGCCAAAAATTTGACTGCACTAAATTTGTGTCCTAACTTATTTTCTGCAACCAGCTTTTCCCAAGTTGATATTTAACATTAGCCACGACATCAAATTTATAGAAGAATGAGGCAGCAGCCAAGGAATATTTTTCCCATAGAAAACTCATTCCTAAACCATGCCATTTTTTTTTAAAACACCGAAAGCCCCCTACATAGCATCATTTCCTTAGAACTAGTAAAAATGATCTTGTCTATGGCTCTTTCTTTCTTTCCTTCTTTTTAATTTTGGCTATGTTTTTATTTTCCATTCTTTTTTATTCTTAACATCTTAGATTTATATGGGAACAAAGCTAATCCCAGATAGGATCTCTTGTAAACATACTATTTGCCATCTGGGGAACTGCTAAAACATTAAACATTTTTAATGTGATTTTTCTAACATTTCTCCCACATACAATCATTTTCTCAGTGAAAGGAGTTAGAGGCTAATTGAATTAGAATTTTTCCTGTTGAATTGTTTTATTTAAATGTGTTAAGGGCAACAGTGAAAAATATTGATTAAGTCTACCATTATTTCTCAGAAAGAACATATTCCCACACAGTTGTCTGGCTCTGTCTATAATAATAATTTGGTGCAATGGTTTTAAAAGTAGTGGGGTGATAATAATTAGGGTGTATGGCACAGAAGTTTCAATGCTGGATTCAACATTTCACCATGCAGGGCATGAAAATTGCCGACCGGGGCTAGTCAGCTCTAAGTACTAATTAACTAATTAATCAGGTGCTGAAACCAGCTGAATGGAGGATCCCAGCCAGACAACTCAAGCCCAAGCAGAGGGTTGTGCTCTTTAAAAACAGTGCAGTCTTTCTTCTTGGTTTTTAACCCAATCAACAATGAGGAGAGAAAGTAGGATATGGTGTCCTACTGTCAGTCGTTTCAGTCCAAGCTTTTTAATTAGAGAAAATAAAATAAAAACATGTGCCTTTGATAATAACGGTGAGGCATCGTGTGCAGGGCAACGATGAAAGCACTGGCAAACCTGCTTAACTCCCGGGCCATGCAGTATTTCAGAGCTGGTGTGTGTGTGTGTGTGCGTGTGTGTGCACTCTGCCTTCTTGGAATTTTCTTCTACAATATTTTTTAACACAGAAGAATCAGAAACATATCTCTCCTTTCGGGTTGATCTTAGGTCTTTTGCCTCATCTCTCGTTTATGTAAATGAAAGAGTCCAATTACACATATGGAAAAAGGGTTTAATGAATCGTGAAAAAGCCTGGTTTGCAGAGAAAGGACACAATTCCCTCTTCTTCTCTTTTAAATGTAACTTAGAACCATGTATTTCTTTTAAGGAAGATGGCAAAGCTTAATGATTAATTTTATGTATTAATTTTCACACTTGGGAATTATTAAACATTTTCCTAGAAAATTTAGCTTCTTTTATCTTTGTAAGGCTTTCTGGAGACTTAGCAAATATTCTACAACAAAAATTGTGAAATTCTAACTCTCTTTTCTACATTTAAAAAATGACTAGATGTTAGTTTCTCCGGTTTTTGATGTTATTCTTAGCTCAGTGATCATTCTTCTTAATACAGTTTGTTCTGGGATTGTTTGCACTGAAAAAGGACTGCCATCATTACAAGGGGGGTTGCTATTGAACCCAAGGAAAAGACACTACTATCCTACACTGTTTTCATTTATTTTTGTATTATGATGTTTTAATTAGCTAAAATTTTTAGGGTGTTGGAAATTAGGTAAGCTTTTCTTTCCTAAAATGATCGAAATTTCACACTAGAGCAGGAAATTCTGCGTTCGAGTTTTCATTTTCCTCTTTTCTTTTGCCTTCTCCATCTTGGAATTTTCAGTAGAGAGTCGACCACACAGAAAACCCTCCACCCCATTTGTTTTATGACCAAAAACAAAAAAACAAAAAAAAACACTTGCAAGAATAGTGGGGAAAACAATCAATGCCGTTTCTGACTGTGCTCTGAGAATTTGGTGTGTGCAAGTAGCCCCCGAAGAGATGCTTTGCAGGGACAGCAGGAAAAGTTCTCAAGTAAAATTACGACTGGAAGTGCTTCCGGGAGACCTAGTCCAATTCCCTCACGGCGCGCATGGGGAAACTGAGGCCCGGGAAGGGGAAAGGGCTTTGCCTGTGGTGATTTTTTTTTTTTTTTCCCCGCTACAAAATACTGCTTCGGTCCACGGAAAACACTTCTCCTGCGCACCTACTGTGTCGAGGGCATTGTGGGGTTCGGCCCACCTGCCTAGTCACGGGGGCCGCGCTCGTTCCACCCTCCCCGATCGGCGCCCTGGATGTGATCGACACCCTGGATGTGATCGACACCATGTAAGTTGCCCCATAATCCTCTCTGGCAACATAGGATGTAAAATTTGATCAGCTCATTGGATGAAGCGGACAAGTCCCCCAAATGTGAAAAGGGGCCCAGCGGTAGGCAGCGCGGCGCG